AATTAGATATTACTAGCTCCCACCTTGGGACAATACAAATTTAAATTATCGATAATTTTCTTTATACGGCGGCTGAGCTCACCCCTATTGCGTTATTGCAACGTAATTTACACACATACAAATTACTTGTATAAATTTTAAACAAGGAGGTTTTTCCCAGCCTAGCTGGGTTTTCCTCCTTTGGGGACAAATAAACCATCTAAACTGTTCCCCAAAAAATCCAAGCATTTTTATTTAACTTCCTAATCCCAACTTCATCATATTCACGTGTTTTTAAAACAACTACGAGAAATATCCGCATTGGATAGTTTTCGACAAAACAATTTTCTTGTCATTTATATTGTTTTATAATATATAAAAACAATATTTTTAACATTGGATATCAATCTTATTCGGTATTTTTAAGCAAATTTATAATACTATTATGTATAATGTATAATTATAAAGATATTTGTTAGCGAATCCTAAAATTAACAATTTGTATATTAATAGAAGCAATTGCGTATCGTCAAAATTGATATGGTCTTAAAAAAGTTAAAATATAATAATTTACAGTAAGTTGAATTTTTAATATATTAATATATCAATATATTGATAATTTTAAACATTAAAACTTACTATAAAATATTAAAAATAGACAGAACGATGTATAAAGTTTAAAGGAATATAAGAACTTGACTTATGCATATTTTTAATCAATAAAAATTTGTAAAAAATAATTCATTTTTATCGAAACACAATATTAAATAACATAAATTATGTAAATAATAAACGGACACACTCCGTCACTATATAATATTGCTATAACTATAGAAAATCGAGTGCGCTTCTATCAAAATGGTTATAATCGACAATTTAATTAATTTTTACAAATTTTATTCATTAATATTTAACCGTTACCTAAGTGGCTACCATAGCAACGAAAAAACGACAACAATGAAAACGTCACATTAACTTTTTAATCAAGGATTAGCGTCAGTTGTAACCTATAGGACTATATTAAGAGTCAAACGGTTTAGTTAGTGCTGCATCCAAATGTCAATAAATATATGACAATTGAAAAATTCCTTTTTCATCATTGTGAACTAACAACTATACCCATTTTATTAAAAATAATTTAACCTTTTAGTAGAATTTTACTATTTTATTTCAGAGGATTCAATTTATTCGAAATTGGGTTCTTAATACTAATTTGGTTTAACATAAAACAATTAAAATCTGAATACATTTCATAATCTATTTATAGGTGCTATTACGTCAATGCCACAAAAATCATCAATAACTATGTCATTAATACTCCACCATAATGAACAAAAATAGATCCATGTTCTACTTAATGTACCAATGATAATAATATGTGCGTCAATTCATGGTCGACGAGGGATATTTAATTACCTTCTTAATTTGATAAATTTGTCATAAAATATAAATTTAAGTGGATATTATCTTATCCTACATTTGAGAGTGAACAATTGAGTACATACCAATAATTGAAATTGTTTTGAAATATTTCCACGTCGTATAAAAAAGAAAAGAAAAAAATATCCCATAAAATGGATAATACCGCTGAAAGTACCATAGAATCAAATGATAAAGGCTCATGGATAACATTCTTTGCCGTAAAAACTTTTGAATTCGTAAGTAAAATACATACATAATCGATAAAACCATCTATCAGTTCAGGGTTGCAAATAATGCATTAAAACAATAATTGAACTAGAACTTAAATAAAATTTTTCTTTTTTTATTACATAATTTAAGAAAAAGAAGAATAAAAAATAATTTTTTAATTCATAATTCCCTGATAGAAATTAATACAGAATAAAAATTCAAGTTCAATTACCGAGTTATAGAATAATTTTTCAATTTTTACTCAGTCCAAACTGTTGCATTGTAAAATAATTTTTTATTGCATGTAATGGGTCACAAAATTAGATAAAAATTTTACGTACTAAAAAATTAGATTTTTAAAGTAGTTAAAAAATTTTTGAGTTAAAAAAGTTTGACATAGGCATGCACACACTAATATACCGAAAGTATCAGCGAAACTTGATAATTTTCCTATTTTTTTATCCTAACATTCGAATTGAAAATTTATTATCAAATTTTTAATCGGAATGCATGTTTAAATAAAAGAATATATTTAAAATTTTCATTTTCAGTTCAAAATTTTTTAATTAGAAAATTCGCAACTTTAGCAAATATTATTTAGTACATGACTATTAATACTTACAATTATTTTAGATATTGCTAGGGAGCATTCTAGGGATAAGTTTTGTTTTTCAATCTTATGAAGATGCTTTTCCATGGCCTCATCTAGTTAGTGGAATAGAAATAGGATATTTTATCATAATTTCTGTTTTACTTCTTAGTGGATTTTGTAAAGTTCGTGCCCATCGAAGTATGGTAAGTTAAAAAACTTGTAAAATTTTCTCTTTCAATCATTCGAATGACTCTATGACTTTTTACTCCTACAGCATGGACTTTTTAATTTCATTGGATTTGCTTTATTTGTCGCGGCAGGAGTCAGAATAATTTATTATTATAAAATTCAATATGAACTTGCTGCAGAATCCTGTGCCAAAGTCGGGTTCAACTTAAATTCATTAACATCTGCTGCTATCGGACTTTTAAAAAATGATGAAGGTTCTAAAGCCTATAAAAGCGGTTTATCAATAAACTCCACTTCGGAAGAGGAAACTAAAAAATTAAAAAAATTGTTTATGCTAGGATTTACTAGAGGATCTATGGACATCGTTGAAGGACTAATTTTACTAACTGATTCATTTCTTGTCTTCAAAAAATATTATTAGTTATTTATAATACAAATAATGAAAGCTTATGAATAATTGAACATATTTAACATCTTTATTTGTTAATTTTATTATTTTAGTCATGTTATTAATTACTGAAGTGATAAGTAGATTTGTAAGTACTTGTAATTTTGTTAACCGTAAAAAGTTTTTCAGACCTTTAGAAAATAAAAAATAAACAAAAAAATTCAATTTTGAAGTTTGGATATCCTCACTATTTTGTTATCATTGCTCAGAAAATTCATTTTAACCTTTTATCCTTCACCTTAGAAAAATTTTGCCTTCGCTTATCTTAAACTTAAAAATTTTCTCCTCCAAATGACAAAATGTTGATTAAAACTCGTTCTACTATCTTCAAAGGATTTTATTTTAATGTTTTATTTTATCTCATTCAAGCAAATATGATGGAAGTAGACACATTCAAGTCATAGATGTATAGATTTAATTAAGCTATAATATGCATTCTGATAGAATTCGCCTTCTAAATTATTGACATAAAAATCTAATTTGGCTTGTAAAGAAAAAAAAATAAAAAACCAAAATCGGTGCAGCCGTTTTTTTTTTGTGAGAAATTTCACAAATAATTTTCTATCGACAGTAGAACACTACCGCGCTCACGCTAGTGGCATTCAATAAAGAGTTATCGACAATTTATTTGTGTTACCTACTTGTCTTGATTTTCATCAAAATTTATAATGGCTTAATTTATAGAGTACCATACTAATCTTTTCTTGAAGGAAACGAGAAATTGAACAAATTAAAAAGTTTGTGACATAGTTTGCCCAAAAATCTTTAAGGATTTCCACACAAGCCTGTCATACAAGCTCGGCTAATAGTAAGCCCGTAACGTGAATTTATTATTGGTGACGTTTGCTAATCATTGCGGTTGATAAACACTAGTTGATTCGATAAATAATACGAAAATTTGAGATCAGGATTTTGGTTCTAACTAATAAATAGGTATATTTGTGATTTGAAGGTAATATTTAACAGGTGTATCGTCAAATAGATATGAAGGGCCGTAACTATCGCAGTCAATTCTGACAATCGTTTTCGTGAATATAATCCAGTACAATTGTGATAGTTTAAACATGGCGATTGATACAGAATATCATGATGGCTGTAAAGATACTTCATTTTACATCGATTAATATAACAAATTTAACTATTTATATAGGTCCACATTTTCTGTGTGAGATTTTTTGTTAGTTATACGTTGAAGTTATATATGTCGTAGACAGTTCGTGAACTGTCTAGACATTTCATGAACTGCAGCCAGATCGTGTAATGGGTTGATCAATTACACGAAGTGGCTAAAATTTTTAGACAGTTCATGAAATGCAATTAGACCTAAAAAATTTTACAAATTCTTTAAAAAAACCATTCTTTCTTTTTTAAATCGCTAGAACTTTTTCAAAAATTTACCGATTGGGACCCGACTAAATTTTTGTTTTTTAATGTAGTTTTTTGAAAAAAATTTCAGAAACCCGGATTTATGAAATATTTCTGTTTTTTCGAAATAATTGTCATTTTTTCGAAAAAAATTTTTTGGAGCTCAAAACCATATAGAACAACTCACTCTTTAACCTCAGAGAGCTTAAAATAACACGTAAATTATATTTTTGAGCTTGAAGAACTCAAAAACGTCATAAGTGCAATTTCAAGTGTTTAGGTATGGAATTAGCGGGAAGTTGCAGGGATGGCCTTTAGGGTCAATATTTAATTATGAAAATAAATAAGTACACACATTTGAAAGATTGCTAAAACGTTTATTTTTAATATAATCTTATCAAATATTTATAACATCATTTGTACTCCAAAGGCACAACGATACCTTCATACTGATTGTCCTCAATGCCCCAACTGTTCATCAGCACTCGTCTTTTAATAGCTTCACGATAACTAGTAACATCAGTAATCATTTTCAACCACAATCCAATCATTTCAATCATATACCATCTTTTCATGTTTTCATCAACTTCATCATCCTGCAAATCCGAACAAACTACATCTTCATCCGCGGCTTCAGCGGTTTCCTCAACCCGAGCGAGAGGACTCGGGAAAATTTCTAAGCTTGCGGAGGCAAATAGTTTACGCAAAATATGTTCGTTTCTTGTTAACAATCGACGCACTGTCAACCGGCTTTCGTCAAACAATTTTTTAAAACGGTCTTCTGGTCGTTCATTTAACAGGATACTCAAATAAAGTTCTTGTCTATTCGAATTATCTTCACTACAATTGTTATTTGAATTTTCCGAAATCTTCATTGTGTTTTTTATGAAGTCATGCAATTCTTCAATGCTATTGAATCTATTTATCTGAGCGAAACCGTCAAAATTTACTCGATATTCGTGTGCTTTTTGTAAGAGACTATCGTCCATTGTTACTTTTATTTCGGGAGGATCTGCAATAATAGAATTTTTTTATTCAAGTTATTTTTCATCACTGAAAATAAAAAAGCCAAAAATAATTTTTTCTCTTCATGATATTTTTTCTTAAATTAAGTACATTTTTTGATCATATATAGATTTTTTGCGGGATACTAAAATGAATTGAAAGGACATTCTTAAATAATTACTCACCTAAAAAACTAGATTGATTATTTTCCCGTGTTAAATTATTATCCCCTTCAAAAGTTGGGTCTTCCTCTTCATCATCATCATCTTCATCATCGTCTTCTTTATCAATTGATTCTTCTAGCGAATCATTGTGCCACATTATGTTATTAGTTTTTTCAGTCTGTATCATACGATGTGACGTAGATTCTACAAAACAAAATATAGTTATTAGTATTAGTTGTCTACAATAATTATTAAGTATCAATTATCAATTCGAGTTAATAACTAAACTCTACAAATAATTAATTTAAATACAAACCACTGGGTTGATCTGGAGCGTCTTCCATATCTTCCTCTTGCTCTTCAATTATTCTGTCGTCTAGTTGATCCGTAGTCAAAGGAGAATTGTTCAAAACTTGACCGACGAGATTACGATAAGTTCGACACCTCCTTATAGAACGTGGTATTGAGTCCGAATTAACGGCAATTATATTTATTCTCATCACTTGTGATGCATCAAGGCCACTCGATTTATCCAGTATACCTAATATAACTAATATACATCACCACTAATTATTACCAATTGTACCAGTGAGATTCAAAGTGTGAATCAATTGTTTAAAACTTTAAATTGATTATTATTATTTATTATTAATTATTACTATTATATTTTTTATGACTAATTGACACAATAAAATAAAACAGTGATGTAAAATGGACTTATTCACTTGTCATAAAGCTCACTGTTCTAACAATGTCACTGATGACCGTTGGGTCATAGAATGACAGGTCGATCGGTATAACTCTGACACACACGCGGATATCTATTTTCACCCAGGGCCACGTGATGAAATAATCTGTAACTGGTCTAAGCCAATTACGCTTCTATCGACAATATTGCATCGTCAATAATCAACAATACTATTTTTATCGATTCTTTTTTTTTCACCAATTGTATATCTGAGTATTATAGCAATTTTTATTGCTGGTATGTCATTAGTTAATAACTTATTTATTAGAACTTAACAATTGGAGATTTTTAAGATTTTAATGAAACTCATCCGGTATTTTTCGAAAAAATTTTTTACATACGAGTAAAAATCCTAAAACAACTAAGTCATTATTTTGTACACTACACTGAAAAAAAAATTAACTTAATTAGAGAGGAAAATTCTTGAACCAAGAAAATAATTTTGAAGAGGGTAATTGTCTTGAATCAAGACGAAAAATTCTTGAATCAAGTAAAATTTAATTAAACAAAGTAAAAATTTCTTAGTTTAAGAATTTTTTTACTCAAATCAAGAAGATGAAGTTCTTCAAAATTATATACTTGATTTAAGATGATTTTTTTTTCTGTGTATCAAGAGAAAAAATTTTTAACCAGAAAGTCATTCCGAAGAACTTGATAATTTTGAATCAAGAAAAAAAATTCTTGTAGCCAGAAATTTTTCATAGTTAAAGTAAATTTTATTTAGTTAAGAAACTTCTGCTTGATTAATTATTTTCAACTCCTTCGAAATGACTTTGATTAAATATTGTTTCTTTTGGATTAATCTATTTTTTTTATTGTATATACTAATACAATCAACAGATTATGGACCCAGAGTTGGTAAAAACATACTTCTAAAGTATACGAAAGAAGACATTTAATATTCATTATTGTATCATAATTTTCAAATTTTAATCTTTCAGTCTTGAAAATTCTTGTAGCAAAAAATTTTTAACTGTATTGTGGATTTTATTTAGGCCAAACTACATAAATTTTTCATCTAGTTAATATTTATTATCAAATTCATCTTCATTTAACATTTTTATTTTACTTTCATTTATTACGGTAAACCGTAAATACAATAATTGTACACAATGTTCAGTTATCATTACGATCATAAATTTTCATTGAATCTATTAAATATTTGTATTTATTTACTTTTTTTTGTCACTCATAAATGTATATAATTTATATATATGTACTTGAATTTGGCAACGATAAATAATAACTCAGTATATTTCGGTAATTCAAACTCGAGTAATGTTAATACTTCTTGTACATACATAACTATGTGTTTATATTTATTAAATGTATACATATATAATTTTAAATCTTTATACTTTTGTTAGGTATGTATACTTTCGATTCAATCGATATGTTCGCCAGCGTTATAATAGTTTTTAAATTTATACTTTCACTAATAATAATATATTTATGTATATATATATATATTATCTTTATCATTTCTATAATTTATATTTTTAAATATAATAATGGTCATAGTCATAAATATATCAATAAAATTAAATATCTAAATAATAAATGATTACAAAATAAACCATAACCGAAACAAAAATAAATAATAATGATACTGCATCAAGTTTGACTGTACTTTCAGTAAAATTCGTTTGTTCGTTGTTGATTGTCTAATGAATAACATTTTCACATATTTTATCAGACAGTAATATCTTAATAAATCAGTCAATCATCGATGATAATAAAAATTATTAAAATAACAATTATAATTATTATTATTATAATAATAATAATAACAATATAATAATGTAGAAAACGAAATGAAACACTCAGGCATCTAGAACACTTAGACGGTGATTAAATTTTAACCAAGTCGAAAAAATAACTTACAATAAGTTTTTTAATACCTTGATTATCATTTTTACTATAATTAATTTAATAATAGTATTAATTATTAATTATTTTTTATTGTAATTATATTTTAATTCCATAAATGGCCGCTTACTTATCTTGGCCAAAAAAAAATATTTATTGTCATGATTTGTTTAACGAATCAGTTCATATCGACGTTGTGTTATTATCAGCACCATTTTTCGCTTGTACATGATGTGGCAATGCTTCTAGCTCATCTCTACTAAGAAAATTAACTATTCCTGCGCCCAATGAATCACCAATAACGTTTACTGATGTTCTGAAACGGTCCCTAAAAATTAAATGTTATTTTTTTATTATTATTTTTAATAATCACATAGACAATTGTTTTGAGATAAAATATACTTACAGTAGCCAGTCAATTGCTATAATTAAAGTAACGTCTTTAGCTGGAAGTCCTACGGTATCGAGCACCATTACCATAGTAACTAGACCCGCTTGGGGTATTCCAGCCGCTCCAATACTCGCAGCAGTTGCAGTAATACTGCAATTTATTGAAATTATTATTCAAATATTACTATTTATTACATATATTTCATTCAATTTAATGTTTAAGACAGATTTCATCAAAATGGACTTTTAACGGTTTTAATTTGTTAGAAAATTGTTTTTTAATCAATTTTGATTAAGAATAAAAAAAACAAACCTGATGGCAGCAAGCTGTCCAAAAGTCAATGAAATTTCACGAACTTGTGCAATGAAAATAGCTGCAACAGCTTCATACAAAGCTGTACCGTCCATGTTGATAGTTGCACCGATAGGCATCACAAAACGTGATACTCGAGGGTCAATACCATTCCGCTCTTCTAAGCAGCCGATAGCAACTGGGAGAGTCGCTGAACTTGAAGACGTACCGAACGCCGTAGCAACAGCTTGTGCCATGTTAGAAATATATCTTATTGGGTTTTTTCTTGTTATTATAAAGAATATTGTAGGTAAAACAATAAAACCGTGGATAACAAGTCCTACTATTACTGTTAAAAAATACATTCCCAGTTGACCTAATATTACATCGAATGATTTCATCTCCAATACTTTTGAAGAGACGAGAAAAAGTACACCAACTGGAGACAGCCTGAAAAGATTTATTCAATTCGGATATAATAATGTAACTTTCAAACTTCGCTATTATGTTCATTTTCAATTATTGGCTTACCAGATTACCCAGTTTGTTATTATCATCATTGCTGAGGACAATGCTTCGAAAAAGTTCAGCAGCGGCTTTCCGTCAGGCCCCATTTTACCCAAAGTTATGCCGAGAACGGTTGCAAACACTACCAGACCTAATATATTCATTCCTGAAGAATCTTCACTTCCTATTTTCCATGTATTTATATCGCCTATTTAATCAAATTAATCCTTATTATTATTATTATTATTATTATTATTATTATTATTATTATTATTATTATTTAAGTAGAAAAACTATTGTTTAATGTAAATAAAATTTCTCTTTTTTATAAAACTTTTTTTTTTTTAATTTGTTTTTTAACATTTGGAATTTAAATTAATCAATAAGAGTTATGGTGAATACTAAAAAGTTAAATAGTTTTATTTTTGTAAAATCATTAAGGATTATTATATCTTTAAATTTATTTTTTAGTTTCAATATTATATAAATTTACGAAGTAAACACATATATTATACTTAATGAAAATATTGAAAATTATTGAAAAACTGCAACATAAAATTTCAAATATTCTTATATTAAATTCTTGTCTTAATGGTACATTTTTCTATTGTTCACATTAACCCCAATTGAAAAAAAAAAAAAAAAATTACTTCACTATTTCATTCTCTTTCAATATATAAGAGCTCCTTTTTTCAGTCATACTAGATCTTATATGAAAATGTCAAAAAATAATGAGACGAAAAAAATAGTCCTGCAAAAATAACAGATAAAATTTTTTTTCAAAATTCATTTTAGCTAATATTGACTTATAATAATTAAGTTTATTGTTTCTAATAAAAAATCCGACTTCGAATAAATATTTTAAGAGCTGAGTATAATTATTTATTCCAAAAATTCGATAATTTTTCAAATTATCATATTTATGAAAATTTGAGTTATTTTTTCAAAATAATTTTCTCTGACCATTATAATTAATAAAATTACCAGATGGATTATTCGGTTGTCTTGTAAGTACAGTGCGGTACTGAGAAATACAAGCTTGAACTAAATTAGGCGGGAACATATTTCTGACCAAATCCATCAATGTATCAACAGTAGAAACATTTCGAGGACCAACGCCATTATCTTCTGATGAATTATCACTTTTACCATACTTCCCTGGCTGTATAGTGATTACCAGTATAATACCTAAATAAAAAAAAAAAAATCAAACTAATTATTATTTAATAAATTAAATGAAAAACTTGAATAATTTATCTCAAAAGAATTACCAACCAATAAAGAACTATTAATAAATATGTCATTATTATGCCTTAGAAGAGACAAAAAAAATAATTTATTTATGTAATACATGATCGATCAAAAACTATACATATTAATAGACTAGACTAGATATTATTTATAGATTATAAAGTAATTTAAAGAAAAACTAACCGAGTATAACAGCGCTAACAGTGGTTATCATGTAATAGGTGATGGCGCGTGCTCCGATTTTACCACTGAGTGATAAATCTAATGAACCGATAGCAGATACCAAGCTGGCAATAATAAGCGGTAGAATCAAACTCTTGAGCATTCTGAGAAACAGTTCACCTACATAGTTGACATACATTATTTCACGCTCGGTCCAACCACTGCGTGCATTTCTCAGTATCAGTCCCATCGCGATACCACCGACCACACCAGAAATAGTAAGAATAGTCAATGCATTGTGCCGCAGACATGTCGTAATCCTTTGACGTCTATTAAGCGGCCTTTTGTTTGGTGACTCACGGTAGCAGGATCTCCTCTCTGTGTCTAAGGGTTTTGATTGAGCATCCGCTCCCGACAGAGGAGATCTGTAAATAGATTTACAATTAATTATCAACGACAAGTTAATAGATTAATTTTAGTCCTTAAACATTTATATCTATGTCAACATCGTTAATTGTATCAGTTCCAGGATTAGATTCAGATTAAAACGTAGACGGTAATTAGATGCGCCAGTTTATTCCCATAGAGATTAACTCGTCAATTTTCGGTAATCAATGTAACAAGGTAATCAGCTTGTGAATATATACCTTAGGTTTGATTAAATTATCTCAAGGAATTTGCTTAAGACTATTCTCGTGTGCCTTAATTAGATGATTGGACTATTTTAACTCTACATTATTTTATAAACTACACGGAGAGAAATTCATAGGAATCTTTCCAAAAATTATGGGAATGGTTCCTATAATAAAATTATCATTATAGGCATTAATCCTATACTCATTATGGGAACCATACCCACACGGTGAGAAATTTCTGTAGAAATTTACTATGCATACATAATAAGACTGAACCTTAATGACTCAATTCAAAATATTACCATAAAAATTTAAGAATATCATATTGTACCAATCAATATTTACTAGGGACCATAGTAAATTTGACCATGTAACTGTTACATAAACATATATAAAAAATTTTCGTAAACTGACTGAACAAAAACTGTGAGTGTGCTTAAAACTTTTCATTATAGTTCCATAGTAAAATGTCTGTTGTTCAGTCGACAATAAAAATTTATAAAAAAAATTTGACATTTAGTCACGTGTACTCGATTTAAATTTAAAATTGTGACTATGAAATTTTCAAATGTCCCATAGTAAACGTATGCGCGTCAGTCGCGACGCGCGCTCTTTCATTTTTTCGTGCGGCTTTGTTTTGTCAACATAAGTGTACAAACGCTATCAGCAGTGGTTAACGGTGTTATAAAAATTGCAATAAACATTAAGTTTTAAATAAATATAAATCCATCAACATATGAATAGTTAATAAAAATTTGGAAGATTCCTAAATAATAAAATATTTAACAATTTAACGTGAAAAATTAAGATGAAAACAAACATTCGATGGTTAACCTGCAACCGACACTTTTCTAATAATATATTATTATTATAATAAAAAATAATTGAAAAGTTATATATTGTGTTTATAATTATTTATAATAAAATTAATTGCCAAAATAAATCCTACGTTCAAACTAAAAATAGAAAACAAATAAAAAAAAACTATATTTCAAAACAATATTTTTAAAAATTATTACATACAAAAAAAATCTTGTTTGGTTTGATATTTTTTTTGATTGCTAAAAATATTTTTTACCCTAAAATTTTTTATTTTTTACAAACATTTTCTTATTTTTTTTGCTACAGTACATTCGGAAATTTAAATTATTGCATATTTCATTTTACTATGGTACATTTCAATTTCTACCGTTTGCTATGCCTGATTTCATTTGTTTCGGAAATTACTATGGGCCATTGTAAAATTTTATTCTGAGTCAATAAGGTTCACTAGTAATATGCACCATAAAAAATAATAGAAATTTCTCACCGTGAAGAAATTATTCTCAATTCAAGAATTTTTCCTCTTGACACAAGAAAATTATTTTCTTCAAAATGGTATTCTTGATTCAAGATTTTTTCTTTTGAATCAAGTTAAATTTTTTATCAGTGTTGTTTTATATGAAAGACAATAATGATAGGAATAAACACTGACATTGTTCGGATCATTTAATTTTACGTACAACGTTCTATATCGATACGTTATAAACTGTCATTTTTAATGATTTAATGAACTTGATAATGTTACGATTATTTCATAATTTTTTTTTCATAAATTACAAAGGACGATGCTTTCATACAACACCAAGCCTCACAAAAAAATTAAACTGACAGTACATAATTTTAAATTAAAACATTTTCAGTTTAGGAAACAACGAAAGTAGTTTTTTTATTTAAAAAAATAATGAATCAAAACAATTACGAAGTTTGCTCTTTTGGTTTACCAATGATTCAATTCTCCACAGGATATGATGTAGTCCATGAAACGGAGATGGAGAAACGTGAGAGTTAGTTCAAACGCCGCGGGAGTGATGCAGCTGCTGTCTGATCGTCCCTCGGGCGTGGAGAGCTCAAACGCGGCAGTGAACGGAGAAGAGGGATGTAGTATCAACTGCTACAACTGATTAATTTAATAATGATAATAATTATAAATATTATTACTGATAACCTTTTTTATTAATTTATAATATTATAAAAAAAGAAATCACAATTATAAATTCAGTTAAAAGTAATTAATTAAATACCACAGTTGTCTGAAAAAAAATTACTCCAATATTATTAGGCATCATTCCTATAATATTATGGGAATGGTTCCCATAAATATTATAGGAATGGTTCCTATAATATTATGGAAACTATTCCTATAGTATTATGGAAACTATTCCTATATATTATGGGAACCATTCTTTTATATATTATGGGAATCATGCCGATATTACAGTTATAATTATAGGTATTGTTCCTATCATTATAGGAACCATTCCCATAATTATAGTAACGTTTCCCAAAAATTATGGATATAATTCCTATAATTTAAGTAATCGCTCCTAAAATGGTATAGGAAAATATTTCATTAAAATTATTGGAATGATTTCCACATTTTTCTCTCCGTGTATGGATAAAAATATGTTAGAGCTTCATCTATAAATTCAATTTGTTTATTGATTGACGAAAAATAAAAAAAAAACCTACAGTACAATGCAATAATTTATGAGATATATTGAACTTTTAATTGCAAAAAAATAAATAAATAATTGATTTAAAGTTTCGATTGAAAGATTAATGTGTCTATTAGTTTATAAAAAATAAAAAAGATTTGAATTGCTCTTATCGTAGCTCTGATAGGTTACAAGTTATAATAATGAGGGAGTTAAAAAACCAGATAAGAATTCTAAAGTCAGAAAGATAAAAATAGTTCAAATTGAAAAAAATTTTTTGCCAACAGATTTATTGTTTTATTCAGCTATTCAGCAAATGCCTGATTTTCTTCATTTCGTTATTTACCGTAAAATGATTATTCGAGAGCAGCACACGACTAGTTCCGGTGCCGGACGATAACTATTCGTGTGCGCAAACGAATCATTCATCATGTGCGGCACTCGACTGGTTACTGTGCTCGAGTTAACGTGCAGCACCAAACTAATTATTGTTTAGAACCTGACTGATGGCGCACGTTATTCAGTTGTGTGCTAACTAAATTTTCATCAATTATTTTCTAGCACCGTAATGATTCAGGTGCAGAACAGTAACCAGTCGGGTTCTAATCTTTCCGTGTAAAATTTAAAATTGACAGAAAAATTTCTAAATTTTAATTATGAATACGGCTGCTACCTCACATGGAGAAATTATTTCCATGTTAATAAGACGATAAGTGGTGTCAACAACTTCAAATGAAGTAAAAAAAAAGACAAATAACAAATTATATCATGAGTTAAGCCTGACTTTAAGATTATATCCAAAAAATAAAAAAAACTTGAAATTCATTTATTATTTAATATTTCCACGTTAAGAATTTAAATTTTTATAATCAAAATTATAATACTATGTACCTGCATAACTTTACCTTGTTTAGAAGTTGCAAAAAACAAAAAAAATTTTTTTTTTTTAATTAAAAAATTCATATTTTTGAAAAAAAAAAAAAAAAGAAAAATCCGTTCTAAAAATTTCAGGATCGTTTAAGATCAGTACAAAATATTATACAAAAAAAATTGAGCCAAAATATTAATGTCAATCGTTATTTTTTACGATTTTCTAAAATTAAAAATTTCACAAATTCGGCATTTTCCAAAATATTTTTTTTTAATAGTCCCAAGCGTCCCCTTTCAAATAAACGAAAGGCAATTCCTGTATCTATAATAGCGTTTAAGATATTACAAAAATAAAATTGAAAAACTGGAAAAATCGCGAAAGTTTGAATTTGCATCTTTTGCAAAAAAAAATTTTACTTTTTTTCCGTTGGTAGAACTTCATTATATGATAAAAGAAAACTTCTGACCGAAATTTGTCCAAATTAAAAGGGGTCCATTCCAGCTATTGGTCGATTTGACATGGAATGACCCATAAGAAAATAATGATTTGAAAAGCACTTGTTGACCAGACGCTCTAAATACACTTATAAATCTTTCATTCGTACACATTTTCAACACTAGAGTTTCAGTAGCTCTGGCACTTCAAAACTCATGAAAATTTTTTTTATCTACACAGAAAAAAAAAATGTTCTTGAATCAAGTATATAATTTTGAAGAACTTAATATTCTTGATTTGAGTAGAAAAATTCTTGATTTAAGAAAATTTTACTTGATTTTAGAATTTTTCGTCTTAATTCAAGACAATTACCCTCTTCAAAATTATATTCTTGGTTCAAGAATTTTTCTCTTGAATCAAGTGAATGTTTTTTTCAGTGTATAAATATTGCTATGGGCAGCATGAAATATACTCTTCATAACAGAAAAAATTTCTATAATAACCATAGAACAAGCGCAATTTCTACTTATTAAAGTTGAAAAATTCAATATGAAAAAAAAATTTTTTCTGAATCTGTACTCTAAAATTCAAAAATCCGCCGTGAAAATGAACAGAGTGAAAAAAAAAAAACAAATTTTAAATGTTAATTATTCGATTTTTTATAGCTTAAAATAAGTAGAGTTTCACTGTGGCATAGTTAACTTTATTTGGTGAAAAAAGTACACATTGGAACTTTAAAAATAATTGTTTAGAATTGTTTGTCATAAAAATATTATCAGATTCTTTACAACTTTTTCATCTTTATGTTAGCAATTATGCCTGATATTACTATACAAAATATCACTCTCCAAGCACTATTTTTCTGTGTAACTTTTTTTTTAGATCGGTTTTGCTCGCAACAAACTCGGTCAAGGTAATTGCCTAAAAAAAGTCGACAAAATTTAATGAGAATCTGATAAACATTATTTGTGTTATCGAGATAACAAAGCGCTTCATAGCTCACATAATATTAACGGAAATAAGCGAAAATTTTATTGACAGTGTATTTTTTTTACTAGTGTATTTTACTGCCAATAAATTAAACATATAAAAAAAAATAGCTTCTGATTAATTTGAACATTTCCAAAATTTATGGCTTCATGAACACTGAATCTGAAGACGAATCGATAGTTAAATCTAATGATAATTACACGTTTATTGCTCTATCTAGACTAAAACTAGATTTTTTCAATAATAAAATTGAAAATATAATTTAAGAATCTAAAAAAGAAAAAAAAAAAGATTATTTTCATATTTCGATCAATAAAACTGTCGTAATTACATACATTACTACCTCACTTTCTGGTAGCTTGAACAATAAAATAAACTTTTTGAACGTTACGTTCATTCGGCGATAAAAAAGTTATTACTTATTAGTAAATATTACATGACAGCATATTCAAAGAATTCAATAAAATAGTTTCGTATTACTTCAAAATATTACTTTTACATTCATGCTTGGATGCCTTCGTTAATGATAAATAGTAATTGAAAAATCTGTAGGATTTCAAACAACAAAAAAATATTATTGAGAAGTATACAGTATAGAGCACTAGAACGCATTCACGTATGTACTGACATTAGTCAGATAAGTGTTAGGTATATAATCATAAAAAAAAAAGAATATTTTCCATGTGATAAAAATAACTGGTTCGAGGGTTATTTTTTAAACTGATGTGAAAAGAAAAGAATTTCCAGTTAAATTGAGTTAACTGGGGGATAATAACTTTAACTGTAAGATAACTAAGAGTGAAGAAAATAGTCATAAGGAATCATTAGTTTGCTTTAGGCTGTCAGAGAAAGTGCTTCGGTTATTCATTTAAAAGCTATTATTAAAAATAAAACAATCATGTATAAGTTTACGTTATTTAATAATACGTTTGTTGTGTTTCTTATACTTTTGTTTGTAATCGACTCATTACAACGCGGTATTATTCATTAAAATTGATTAAGTACTTATTAAAGTTATTTTATTTATGCTTAATGATTTTAATAATTTTTTATTTCAGAAATGACTTCTTTGGGAAGAATACAAAAAAGTTTGTTGAATCACGATTTACATACAACACATAACTCTGAGTTAGAGTGCAAAGAAGATTATGTCAAGTGTGTTAATGACAGCCGGTGTATTCCAAAATTTTTGTGGTGTAACGGAGAAATAGATTGCGCAGATGGAAGTGACGAAGAAATGTGCTCATGTCTTGATCAAATTGATAACAATAAAATTTGTGACGGCAGATTTGATTGTTTTGATGGCGAAGATGAACTTAATTGTTTTGGTTATTATTGTTTTATTCGTTTTTTTTTTTTTTTTTTTTTTTTTTTTTTTTTTTTCTATAAATAATATGATTAATTGAAAATTTTTTATTAAAATGTGTTATTTTTTATCAGGGTGCGGTAATAATTCTTTCAGTTGTCTAGATTGGACTAGACGTGATCCTAAGGGGATGTGTGTATCCTTATCACGAAGATGTGACGGAGTAACTCAGTGTTCAAATAAAAAAGATGAGTTAGATTGTAGTATCCTCACACCATCTCCTGTCAACCATGATACTGTAAATTGTTTTTAAAAAAATTATATTATTTATTTTGACGTTTTTAAATAAAATTTTTTTGTTGAATTTAGGTGATTAATTACAAGTATAAAGATGGATATTTTTTCAAAAACTGGAAAGGCAATTGGTACCCAGTCTGTCCGGAAACACAAACTTGGGCATCTGACGCATGTTTAGAAGGAACTGGAAGTCTTGCTTCCGAACCACCAACAATTACAGTTAATATGAATATGAAGAAAGAAAAACGTAATCTGGGGCCATATATCGCGATGATGCCATGGGGGCAGGTTAGATTGCTCAACGATTGTTTTGCTGAAATAGCATTTGTTTTGTGTACTAACCAGAAAAAAATCTAATGTCATAAAATTTTTTATCTTTTATCAAATTTATTGCTGTGTTTTTCGGCTCAAGAATTAAATGAAGATGTTATTTTTCAGGTTCTATTTTCACATAAAGTTATTTCACTAATTTAAGCAATTAATTTTTTTCTATTATTATTATTATTATTATTTATTTTCAATGCATGCTCTTAAAGCATTTGCATTTTCCATACATCATTTTACATGGTTTTATAATCACTTAGTGTTATCACACATGTTACTCGGCTGCCCAATTTTAAAACACAGTAACTGCAAAATTTTTATACCTGATTTTTTTTTAGTATTGCTGCATTTTTTATAAATTTTAAACTTTAATTTCAAGTATTTTTTCTTAAAAATATTTATATTTGAGTAGTTTCTATTCATAAATCAAATTTGTCATTAATTTGGCGGGCAAACTTTTTTTTAATAAGAAAAATTAAAAAAAATTTTTAAATGTTAGTTACTGTGTTTTGACATTGGGCAGCCGTACTATTACACTAATTTTCTTACAGACTACTACACAATATATTTTTAATCTTAAATCTTCACATAATGACCAGATTTACACTCATACACACATTTTCCCCTCAATTAAATAAACTCATTCTCTTCATTGACTCTCTACTTTTCTAATATACTCACACATCTCTTTAACCACAGGTCCTCTCAACATTTCAATTATTGGCCATCGCAACTCATTCTCCAGTTTTTCCCCTTTCCAGCTAGATATATACTCAACAACCCGCTCCTTCTGTAGCTTCATTATTTCACTGCAGCTGAATATATGCTCTAGGTTCTCTGTGACTTCTCCACATAATCTGCAGCTCCAGTCTTTGAAGCCTTTCCTCGCTCTACCGACATTGCCACACCTGAAAATAATTTTTTTCTATTTAAATAGCATAAAAAAACGCTACTTTTTCTTAAGAAAGGATCCCATCTTTTTTTCTCCTTGTATGCACTCTTTGAGAGAAACCGTACTATCTTTGTCACATTTGTAACAGCAAAGGTATTGCAAATTCATGAAAATTTCTTACACAAATGAAAATTTCGAAAAAAACGCTCTGCTCGAAAATAAATAATTAAATTATCTTTATCGAGTGGGAAAGAGTTTTTTCTAAAATTTTTGTTTTATTTAAAAGAAAATATGGATTCAAGATGCTTGTTATTTAGTGTAAACATCAGACTTATTATTATTAATGTTATATATAGTTATTTTTAGAAATATAATATTCAATATTTAAATTTAAGATAAAATATTTGTAATAGGTGATAAATTATTTACAAGTTGTAATTTTTTTTTGTTTAATAATTTTTTATTATTATTTTTTTTTTTTTTTTTTTCTTAATTTGTTTAAAGTCGCATAAACTACTAAGGTCATGAGCGACTACGGTAGGGGGTAAACTTTTGAGATTGGAACTCGTTTTATTTCTTGGGCTGAGCAGAATAATACACTTAAATATTGAAAATATTCATTGGTGTACGCCGGACTCGAACCCGGTCCAATGCTTTGGTAAGCAAGGGCCGGATCCGATAGGCTACTGCGCGCCTTTTTATTATTTTATTCAATTTAATTTTATTGATTTACGCAGTATTAAATAATTTATTAAAAACATTAAATAGTTATACAAAAGCATTGTCTTAAGGTAGTTCCAGCATGAAATCACTTTTCAACAGATTCGGCTGAAATTTTTTTTACGGGTTCAGAATAGCTTTATTTATAAATTCCTGAAATTTCATAATTTTTGATCGTTTAGATCGCGAGATATTTAAAGTCAAAGTTGGCGATTTTGAGGGTCATGTTCCATCTAAAGCATGTAAAATGTTCGGTCTCTCCAACTATTTTTTATTATATTAAAAAATTCTCTCGACAGAATTGGAAAAAAAATTAGGAGAGTGTTGAAAAATGTTTTTAGAATAAGTTAAAAAAATAAAAATAGCACCTCACCGTTTTGTTATCGAGATATAATAATTTTAAAAAATAAATTTCGATCCATTTCTAACCTGCTCACTTAACAACTTATAGTGATTTGGCAACGCCGTGCGCAACGCTCCCTGAAATAGTGTAGCATAAAAAGCGGGAAATTCAAATCTTTCACGGTTTTCAAGAGCAACGTTGCCAGATCACTAGACTAACAACATGTGATTGTATGTGTGAACGTCTGTGTGCCGTGGCTTTTAAATTTTTGTCTATAGTAAATGCTCTGACTATACTATACCACGCTGGAACTACGTTAAGTGGGGTCATCTGAGTGGATCATCTGGCGTAGTGTTGAAGACATAGTCAGTTATTACTAACTTGATATAATTTTTATTCGGAATGAATTTAAATTTAGTTTTCTGTCATTTAAAATGATTGGACCTAAAATAAAAAATTATAATTATTTTTTGAACAAAGTATGTCATCATTGAATTGGTTGTTTTTTAAGTTCAGATATTTTTTTGATTGAGAAACAAAAATTTGTTATTCATGACTTAAAAATTTTTTCTTGATTAATTACTTTTTATATTAACATATAAGTTACGTAAACCGAGGTAAATTTAGGTGACAAAATTTTAACTTATAGCCTTGATTTTACTCAACAAAGAGCAGTAATAGAATGATTCTGTTTGATTTATTTTCAATGAAAGTTCCTTTTAGGTAGATTTCGTAGAAATCTATCTATTGCATTGGTCCTTGTGTCGGAATTCACACGGAATTTTGTCATTTTATCTCTTATGTAGTCGAGTAAAGCTCAAAATTAGCATTGGTTCATAAGTTTATATATTTATGTATATATACACACATATGTAATATAACGCGGTTTGTGGACACGATAGCGTCTACAATTCTCAACGGATTTAGATGAAACGCGGTACACATATTCTTTGGGTAATTACCTTGAACGAGTTCGAAGATGAGCAAAATCGATCAATTAGTTTAGAATAGTGAAAATCACGTTTTTGGTCACTTCATTGATGTATAACTTATGATTGAGCAAAGGTAGCTAATTTTTGAAAAATTCATGTGATAGCTCATAAAATTACCTTTAATTTGACGCATATAACATTGACATTTTTATCATTTTTAATTATTTTATCAAAGTTAAGAGTGCAACTAAACCATTTTCAGGCAATGTGTAATACAACCGACTTATGTACGTAATTCTATCAAAAAATTTCATTCAGTAAAATCTACCTTCCATTTCGAGTGAGGCCGAATGGCGTTTTTTTTTTTTATTATTATTATTTGAAAGATTGTTATGAAAGAAAAAAAAATAAATTTTTTTCTAAGGTGGGACAGTTCAATATTCATAAAAATGTTTATTTGATATTTTTGATCATAGATTGTATTAAAAAAAAAAAAAATTCGCAAAATGGAGGCCCAAGCCGTGACTCGAACCGAAATACATTGGCATGCATCGCAGCTCTTGCCTTCACTTGAGCACAACACTTGTAGTAGTTAGCGACAAATTTCTAGTACATACTGATACGATATGCGTCGTGTAACCTCATTATTAAGAATAACAAGTCTGAGGATGAAAAATTTTTTTTAATAATTCAAATTCACCTTACAATTCTACAAAGATATTACGTATTTTCATAATTTCTTTGCTTAAAAATTTTCTTAATATTTATAAAAATCTGAACTTAAATTTACAATAATAATAATTTACAACAATTCTTCAATTAAAAATAATTTTACTTTATCAATTAAAAAAAAAACATTACCTCTGACGTTTAGATTCGAACCCATATCAAGTTAGTAATACTACTAGTAATTTTTTATGTTCAGACTTTTTATATATAATAATGAGGTTACACGATGCTTGTTGTATCAGTATCTACTATAAATTTATCAGTTACTGCTACAAGGGTTGTGCCCAAGCTAAGGCGAGAGCTGCGATGCATGCAAATGTATCTCTCGGTTCAATTCATGGTTTGCGCCTGCAATTTATAATTTTTTTTTTTTAATTCAATGTATGATTAGACAATGTCAAATAAACATCTTTATGAATATTGAATTGTCCCACCTTAGGAAAAAAATTTAATTTCTTTGTTTCATAACAATCTATTAAATAATAAAAAAAGAAACTTTAATTGAAAATAAATCAAACAGAATTATTCTATTATCACTCATGGCTTTAAATTAGAATTTTGTCAACTAAATTTATTTTGGATTACATAACTTCTATGTTAATATGAAAAGCTATTCATCAAGAAAAAAATTTTAAGTCATGAATAACAAAATTTTGTTTCTCAATCAAAAAATTTCTGAATTAAAAAAACAAGTAATTCAATAATGAAATACTTGGTTTAGAGAATAATTATAATTTTTTATTTTAGGCCCAATAACTTTAAAATACAGAAAACTAAATTTGAATTAATTCCGAATAAAAATTTCACGAATATCATCTCATAATTTTTACACTCATGTCACTCATAATAATGTCATTCAAATTTTACATCTCTTATCATAAAAATTAAAGTATTTATTTTGAAAACATCTCATTGGATTAATAACTTTTAATGATCCATACAATAGTAAAATGTATTTAGTATGCATCTGTTTACTAAACATATGAATAGATAATGAATAAACACTCAAAGTATCGAACAAACAAAATAAATCAATAATTACAATGTCCTTACTATTTTTATACCATTTTTGACTTGAGGTAAAAATGGATTTTCCTCAAAAATTTACTCTACAGATGAAAAAAAAAACTATAATAATAATTTTTGAAGTATAATAATAATTTTTAAAGTATCAACAGTTTATTACATAAACTATTTTAAGTGTGTCGGAATAAACGAAGGCAATTAAATGTTATAATTTTTTAATGACGAGATTGAAACGTTTTACGGCACCCGTAGTATTAATAATTGTAAATTAAATGTGTGGGCGATATATCTAACGCTGAAACAACATTCATGCATACACATATGTATATATAGGGCTCACACACGTCGATAGTAAATTTACCGAGTACTACGTAGGTATATGATGTATACATACATAAACAGGATGTGACGACACGCGAGCAGTGAATCCGTCATTTAAATGTCTTGTATTAACTATTACACGTGTTGGTGCTCTTTTTAACCGGGTGTTTTACTCATGATATATATTTATATATATTATATGTTTATAAATATATTCATTTCACGTTAGACATCTCATAATACAATTTATGAATATACTCAAAAAAAAATAATTAAAATAATAATAAAAGTGTCAGATAGGGATTAAGGAAAGCTGAAAGGATCAATAAGTCAGCGATTTTGTATGCACGAATTATTATTATTATTTTTTTTTCTGAGTTTTTATAAATAAACTTCTTTTAAATATGAAACTACATTACATAAAAATGAATACGATGAATAGTACAGTAATTAAATAATAACAATAATAAAAATAAAAATAATAATAATAAAAACAATAATAATAATAATAATTGTTTTTGTTTAAAGAACACTAGAGAAGAACATTCAATTCTTATCCTATTCAATTAAAATAAGTAATGACTTTGATCTTCTCAATTATTTTCTATTTGAATTTAACGGAATTCAAAACAATAAAATATTTTTTTATTTATTTTGTTGAAAAGTCAATTGTTTTTAATAAAAAAAAATTAAAAAAAATTATTTAATAGAATTATTTGTGTGATAGTTACTGAATATACATTCAACATATTTAATAATTGTAGAGAAGAAAAAATTAGTTTCATAATTTTTTCATATTAAAATAAAATAAAAGTGCAATTATACAACTTCTTTGCCGTTACTTTTTTAATAAGTTTAATTATACAGCTTATGCGTCCTTTTGATAAGTAATAATTAGAAATATTAAAGAGCGACAAGCCCTTGAATGAAAAATGATAATCTTATAAAGAAAAAGAATATTGACATTTTTGTCCGTGAATATCTAGGACAAGCGACAATTTTGATCATGATACATAAAAATGTGTTGAAATCCCTCGCACCTACTATTCTTTATCCATCTTATTGACTTTTTTTATTCAAGTACAAAGAAAACCGTTGGTGAGTAGTCAATGATTGTTCGGAGCTTGAAGGACAATGTTCAAAAGATTCCCTTAAAATCCTAGATAATCTTTCTTCAAAATAAATGTTAATGTTATACGTATGGGCTGTTGCTGTAGTGTAGTATATATAGTATATAGATACGTTTTCATAGGTGTAGTATCTTTGATAGCAAGAGGGGAGCAGAATAAGCCCTTAGAAATTTTTCTAACAACATAATTTCTTTTTGTTATTTCTAATTCTATTTAACTGCTCAACAGATCTGACACTATTACAATGCAGTTATAAGAAATTCAGAGAAAATTCTACGGATTTTCTCAATCGAAATTGATAATACAGTAATATAATAGTTCATACGTCTGCTATAATAAGGGTTCATTAGTTTTTGTATTAAACATTTGAAAAATGACTTTTTGTACGTGTTTAAAAATATTAATTTAAACAAACAAAATTAATAGAGACCCTATCAGTGTTTTGGGCGTAATAAAGATTTTTTTAGACCAATCTAAATTTTCAAAAAAATTTTTACTTTTTTGTGAGATGATTTCGATCTTTATGTATGATCTATTGAAAGATACACAAAAAAAAAACAAATGATAAAATATGCTCAGATTTTTGTTAATTTTTAATATTTCAAATGGTAATTGGGACTCCTGCGTGGTATTCGAAATTTGTTGACATTAATATAGCTATTTCTGTTTGAAATAATATTTTTTGGTGTATAAATGTTGAATTTTAGTACTCACATAATAAATATAAAAAATTAATTATAAATATCACGATTTCACTATTTGAAATGGTACTTATCATCCATTGATTCTTACTAATTATAGTTCATTGTTTTTGCCGTATATAGTATAGACTAAATGTATTTTGTTAAGTACTATTTATGAAAATTTCTTGACTTTATCGAAAAAAGTTTAATCACTAAAGTCTTTTAATTAATCAAAAGTTTTGTAAATGGGCAGTTGTGAAGCTGTAGACGTCAAGTTAAAAAATAAAGAACAAGAATGTATTCTTATTATAAAACTACAACAAAACTTATTATATTCGTACAGTAGTTAAATAAACTTTAATAGCTTATAGTTATAGCTCATTATAGTTCCACTTGACTATATTTACTAGAAATAATAATAATTTACTACACACACACACACACACATATATATATATATATATATAAGGAAAATGTCAATAAATCAAAGGTGATAACAAATCCTAATATAAAATTGAGATGAAATGTATGTGGCATCAAACTATTCGTAACGTGATTGGTCGAATATATCATAAGCATGAAAATATATGCAAACTCTATAGTTTAGGCGCGCGCTTGCGCGCGTAAATTTGAATTCTAGTCCCATAATAAAATTGAGATGAAATGTATGTGGAACCAATTTATTCGTGATGTGATTGGTCGAAAATAAATATTCTCATTCTGATTGGTTGAAAGTGAATATAATATACCTAAACGACACATAAATATATCATGACAATAAATATGAGGCGCGCGCTTGCGCGCGAAAATTAAATTCTAGTAAAGATAAATGATACATTTTATTTTAATATCAATAAAGTCACTATTTACTCCAAATTTATGGAAATTTGAGATATTATCACGAATGGTATCTATATTTATTTCACATCGATCAGTTACTCACAAAAATTAATTTATCACTCTTTTGTTTTTCATATCGTCATTAAAATTCATTAAAAAAATTGTTGGTCCTCATAAATTTTACGAATTAATTATTATTATCCAATATGCAATATTCTTATATCATATTGAAATTTAATCTATCCCAAATGTCCTTAAATTACAATATTTATCACAAACAAAAAAAAGTAATCTGTAGAATCAAAAAAAGAAATGATTTCAAATATAGATAATCTTCTATACTAATATTATAAAGAGGAAAGATTTGATTTTGTTTGTTTGTTTGTTTGTTTGCATTAAATAGGCTCCGAAACTACTAAACCGATTGGAAAAATTCTTTCACTGTTGGGAAGCTACACTATCCCCGGGTGATATAGGCTTTATTATATTATAATTAATTTTGAAATTTTTGTTAAATATCCTTGTAAAGCCGGGGCGGACTGCTAGTTTGTAATAAAAAAGTAGTGAATTAATTTTTTTGTTGCTCATCCTTATAAATTATTTGGTAGTGTGACAGCAAAAAGCAATTAAAAGTTAATGATTATCATTTATCTTTTTTGTTAATATTATCAGTCAATTTCAACTGTAGAATAATTTGGAAATTGTTTATTTGAGAATTTTTATTCAATTACCTTCTAAACGACACGCTAAATAACCAGTGAATGGTGAATTATTTCAAATTGTACATATGATAGTTGTATAAACTAACATATATCTCAGAAAATGTTTAATATTTATCAATACTCTTATCGTGTATATAACAATTATTTTTTTTTTATTAATAAAGTGAAAATTTTATACTCTTGTACGTCGCCTGTTGATTTACTACATATATGAACTGCGTTAATACAATTATAATAATTACAATTTCAATCTGTAAAGTCGCTGGCCACATAATTTATAAACATTGACTCACTATTTATTTATTTTATTTATATTGTAACAAAAAAACGGAACTAAAATTTATTTCCATTTAAAATTCATGAAGTGAGAGCTTTAAAAAATTTATCGGTTTGTAAATAAATAACAAATGTATATCCCTTATGCAACAGTTGCGT